CAGAAAGACTCAGTCTGTGTCTCCGTTACTGTTCTCACCTGTTACATGCAAACGTTCACTGTTGGATCTACCTCTCTTTCTCTTCTGCTCACATGTTTTCTTCAGTGCCATTTTTTTGACTTAAGGGAAGAACACCAACATTAACATCTGCTTTCGCTTCACACAAACACTTACACATAAATACTGTTAATGGCTAACTGCTATCACTGACCACCACCTTGTCACCCACATGATCAACACCCTCTTTCTCTACTTTTCTTTTCTTATTTTTATCAACAATGTCTGTAAGCCTGTTATACAATACACAACATCATGGTGTAAAACAAAATAAAAACTATAAAAATCATCACTGTCTATTTCATTGTTCTTTTCAAATCAAACGTATGTAGAGAACATTATCCATTTTTAGCTGCTCTTCAAGGAAATATAAACATTAATTCCTTTACATTCTTATATTGTACCACAAATAAAAATATTAACTTAGATGGGATAAAACTGATAATGGACAGAAAAAGTTCATTAAGTAAAAGACTTACAATTTTCTTGCAAATTTTAAGTACTGATGAAGCAAACAAACATTGATATTTAATGACTATTTATAAGTTTGAAGCATACGTAGTTGTTTGTTAGTCATACAAAAACACTATGCAAAGTATGATTGTAGGAAGAATGACAGTTTTGGCCACTGCTCATTTTTAATTACTTCTTATTTGTAACTTTATTATGATGAATATGCATAGTTTATATTTCTTTACATAAAGTAATCAATTTTTTAAATTATAAAGTAAAGTTGACGTACGACTAAAATCTCGTTACATTCTGAATTGATCAGGAATCACAGAGTGAATCTTGGCACACAACTTTACCAGTAAAAGGTTCACCAAAAAGAAAGGTGGGAAATTATGACAACAAGTCAATAAGAACTATGTTAAAATTTAGAAGCCCAAATACTGATTTCAGCTGTTAAAGACTATTGACATTTCTTCAATATGTATCCATTTAAGGAAGAAGAAAAAGATGTGACTAAGCTAGGAATGAATGGTTCAATTTTTTCCCTTAAAAGAATGTTTTTTTTTTCTACCTTTTTATATAAAACTAATATGTGAAACTCTCTTTTATTCAATGGTTAGCTTTTAGCAATGATGTTTCCCTTCTCCCCATCCTTCAGTTATCTCTCTAGTTACTTTGCTTTAACAAGGTTGTTCCTTTCTTTCTCTCTCTCTAGATTCATCACTGTTGTTGGTTTTGATCTTTTGATATGTTTTTTTTTTCATGGATCTTCTTTCTAGAGTGAGTGAGTAAATGATATAGTACTAATTTGGTAATTGATCTGATGGCTGCAGCACATACTTTGATGAGCTCCAATAATACACAGCACAGATAGCCGGTCCAAGATGTTGAGGAACACTAGCTAGCTGTACTAGAGCCTCAAAATTGGTCTGACATATAAGCAAATAATTACCCTTTAAAGAACATTACTTGCTTCTTGGATTACTCAGAAAAATCAAGGAAAATATCTGAAGATTTTTTTATTTAGTTTATGACTTCATTCCATTGATTGTAACTGAGTGCATGTTTGTTTCTTCATTTGAAAGGTCCCAAATTCATGTTCATTTAAAGCATACAATCTTTGTTGCTTCTCAGTGAATGAAGCTTTGTAATTAACTAAATACAATGTGAAATCCAAATTTATAGAACAGCTTTATAGAGACTGAGCATATATTATTCAATAATCATTCTGTTGTTTAAGAATATTTATTAGTCTTAAGAAATATTGAACTTTTCTCTAATAATGTAACAAATCTTGCATTTTTTTTCACAAGTTAATGTTTTCTTTTTAAAAAAATATATTACCATGCTATTACTAATTGTCAAGTCAGTACATTACATTTTAGAAATTAAAAATGGCAATTAATCGAAATATTAAAAATTATTTACCTAAAATTTGTCTCATCTTAAAAACTCAATCACGATATTTTATAGATAAATATTATAACATAGACAAATTTGCAATTGTTAATATTTGTTGATTAATGTCAATATTTGTCAATAAACTTTACTAAAATAATTTTATCAATATATTTTTATTCTACAAATAATTAATTAATGTATTAAATTTACTAATTGACAATGACCATCAACTAAATATTTCTAAAAAAATTCTATTATCAAATTTGAAACGCAATGATAATTAATAATTATGTCATTTACATTTTTGTGTGTGCCCCATAGAAATAAATAGGTTTAATGTTTGAGGTTATGTGTATTACCATAAAAAGTGTGTAATGGAATTGTATTTTTTTTTAATGAATTGAGGTAATAGAAATGGAGATGATGAGAAATATGTATGAGAATGGCTAGGCCATATGAAGAACAGTAAGTGAGTATGTTTGGCATATAGTAGTTAATGGGCAGAAAGTTGTAGCACAAGCTTGAATTTTGTGAATAATGCATCATGCACAACCACAATGTGGGACATGTCACTATCATTGTTATTGTCTGAAAAAAAGAAAATTTAGTTTGGACTTGTGTTATCCATTTCAGAAGAAGTACTTAGCTTGCTTCTACAAATTAAGGAAATAAAAAAAGTAAAAAATATTTGCAAATGATTTGATAAGTATAATAATTTAAAAAGAAATTATAAAATTATATGTTTATAAAGAAATTATAATTGTATTATTTTTCTTTATTATCATTATTATTACTAATTATTAAATTATATTTTAATGTTTAATTTATATATTATTACTTTTAATTAGTATTTTATTATATTATTTATATTATATAAATAATATATCATTTATTATAATTGTTACATATATAATGTAATTGAAAATCGATATATATATATATATATATATATATATATATATATATATATATAATTTATATATATAATTAAATATGAATTAATATATTTATAAATATATTTTTTAACTGATCTTATGTTAGTTTGTTCATACATATATATGAAACAAATTCAAAAATATATTTACTTATAAATTTTTACCTTCATTTTTGTTTGCATAACTATTAAAACAAACGATAAATAATTTGTCTTTCTTTATTAACAATACTCTCTTCAAAGTAAACATAGTATGAAAAAAAATTGTGATTTCTAAGAACAAATATGACTACTAGTGGTGATTTTTCTCTTTAATTATTGATTGTTCATATTTTGTAGTGATTGTAATATGATGTTTACTTATTCATCATCTTGTAGGGTGATTGTAATATGATTAAGAAGGATAAATATATATATTTTTTAAATTTATTATATTTATAATTAAAACGTTGAAGGGTCATATGGAAAAGTAAAAAAAAAAAAAAAAAGTGAACTAAGTTCTATGTGAAGATATACATTAACAACACACTAAACAAATATCACCATGACCTGAGTGATAGTTCATAAAAACTTTGTTTAAGGCAAAGATAATAAGAATATATATTTAACTTTTAACAATTAGCATATTAATTAATTTTTAAAATAAAATTAAACATATTTTTATTTTTTACTAAATTTCACATATTCATAAAAAAGACAATATTGATATACAAATGAAATCTTTTGCGTTTTGTTTTTTTATAAATTTAAAACTATTAAAATTAATTACATGTTAATTTTAATATTTTTATTTAATAAAACACGTGACAAAAATCAAATACATATTTAAATTATAATTAAAATTAAAATTAAAATTATTATATTAAAATTGTAATATTTTTTATTATATAAAAATTAAATATATTAATACTTAATTTTGTTTTTAAGTGCAATATGTTTGTAATCTTTAATGAGAAATTAAAACTCTGTTCTTTTTTATACGTTTTAATTTTAAACTTTAAAAATGAATAAATGAAATTATTTTAAATTTTCATTGTAATTTAAAAAGACTATATTAATTTATTTTTAAAATTTTGAAACTAAAATATATTAAAATTTGAAATAATAAATTTCAATTTTTATAAGCTTAGCCTAAATTTAAGTACCACAACACGATCATATTAACTCCTTTATTTTATTTTTTTAATCAGAATATTTTCTATAAAAGTCTAACTGGTTTGTCACTTTCTTGGCTTACCTCATTGTTGGTTTGGGTCTTTTCAGCATGATGCAGATAACACATTTTCCAGGTCATTCAAATTGTCTTTTGTTTGTCGGTGTTTATCATCAACACCGCAGTATAATGATTCTTCATCTCTTCTTATATTTAACTCCAAATTCAATCAATCCAAACGGTTTTGATAATCACTGTTTAACTACAAGTAAAATTAAAAACTATAGGTACCCCAATTTTCGGTAAAAATACTAATTTCTGTATTTCTCAACGAAGTAGTACTTAAAAACACCATTTAATTAATAATTAATGTAAGTAACATCGCAATTTGAGATTAAGGGGAATATTAATCCAACATTTAATATAGATTAAGAAATAAACTCACTAAAGTTGGTTTGGTTGTGGAAAAGTTAAAGTAATTAGCATGCCTAAATTCAAACCTCAGTACTGTCATTTTACACAGGAAAAATATTCATGTAGTTATGTGAGATTCTTCGACAAGATTCATAAAACTTGCTAACATTTAGTTTTTAATTATTCTATACCACTGGTTGCTTGTGAGATCGTATCTAGTTCAAAAACACTGGATTAAAATATAGCAGGTACACATTAAAATATAGTTCTTAAGGCATTAAAAAAATAGCAATATTCACTATTTGTCTTTATTAGTACCCTTTCAGTTTAATCAAATAGCTTTAGATTTCTTCAAAAGAAAGTATACTTTATAATAGAAAACTATCCTTCCTATGCTTTGCGTTCAAATTCTTGTATTTTATGTTTACGTCATGCGTATATTCATTCTATACCGTTTACGAATAATTTCAGAGTACGAAATCCCACCAAAGTTTACGAATCATGAAACTTTGTTCCTTCACAATGCCCTTCACGTGTGCCAATGGGCAAGACAAGCTAACTAGTCAGTGCCTGAACGTGTTTAGCTTATTTTACCACAATACAAGTATATATAATATTAAGATTTTCGAATGACAGAAGAGTGAAGATATAGACAATGCAAAAAACATGGAACATACTCATAGGAGCTGTATTAAAATCAGTGGGTCGTAGTTTCCTTAGTGTCCTTCTGTCCCTATCATGTGAAAAATCCACAGGAGAGAGAGAGCAATTCCCTTCTAACTGGTATACACATCCCTGTTAAAAAAGGAGTCGTTTAATCATAATAGCTTTAAGATATACTTAAGGGGATCAAGGCAGTTGAGTAATATTATAATCGAAAAAAGATACATAGGCTTTTTTTTTTCGAGTAAGGAAAGGGCCATGCAACCTACAAAAGGATGGAGGGAGGGATTATATACAACGACCAAGAAGCAGCTGGTAAGAATTGTCTCCCGATATTTAATTTCTGTGCCCAACTCCAAAGTGAAACCTTCTGTCTTTCTTATCGTTAAAGGCATATTCAAGGCGCAAAGGACCCAAAGGCGATTCCACACGGATGCCAAACCCATAGCCGTATCCGCTGCCAGGTTTCTTCCTTGCTCCAGCAGGGTCACCTAATATAAAACCAAAACACCAAATATGTGCCTTATTAATGAACAGCATGAACAAAATCAGCATACACGTAGAGAAATACTACCAACTGAGACAAAACAGTTGAAAGCTCATGAACTGTTTAACTTTTGAGGAATGACATTGTGGATATTGTAATTTAAAGGAGTCAGAGCACAAGGATAAGCCAAATGCTGTTCTGCTAGTAAATGACTTCAGTCTTTTGATTGTTGTGTGCTTGGTTGTCTCCTTGATTGAGTTAAATAACAGCCAATGAATAAACTTCCCAATTTGTTAAGAAAGGTTTAACGACAGCTATGATCTTAATTATTATCGTGAAACACAAATAAGGAAAGAACAATATTAAAATAAGAAAAAAAAAAGCAAACAAAGAAACGAAATGAAAACTTACCGGGTACAGTTGGGCCTGAACCAAGGTCAGTTCCATAGTCAGAAAATATAACACCTTCCACTGGCCCGTACTGCAAACAGAAACAGTAAGATAAGTGACTCAAATTACAGGGACAACGGAAATAAATTTTCTATCATCCATTTCGATACATATGCATAACTATTTGCAAATTATGTGTGGCTGCATACTTAGTTCTGGGCTTAACCTGACCCGACAATCCATAGAAAGAAGTAACATGGGGGGAGTAGACACATAAACATGTTAGATATCTAGTAAACAGTTAGGAATCTAGAAACTCTAGTTTAGCTGTAAAAGATTCAGTAATTTTATTGACCATACATGAACCTTTTATAGACCTTAATGCTATACAAAAACTAACAAAACAGTCAAATACTAATTAATTCTGATACAGACCAATTAACGGCTTAATAAAACACAACAGAAACTAAATAACAAATTCTCCCTTAAGCTGAATGTTAAGCAAGAAATTTAGTTTAATTATACAACTTTATCATCCCCAATCTGCTTCTGAGGCTAGAGAAGGATTCCAAATTTAAAGGCTTAGCCATTCCTCTTCTGTCCGTGATCCCAAATTCAGTTAGGCCTCTCAAATATTTGAAAATCCTCTTCACATCAATCAGATGCATTTTTGTAGGTCCCATCATATATCTGCTGACCAAGCATACAACAAACATCAGGTCTGATCTGGTTGCAGTGAGGAGGAATATCAAACTTCTGGCCATTTACTAGTACAGAGATGCATCTACTACCTCCCCATCTTCATCCTTTGAAGGTTTGCAACATGGTTCTATAGAATTTGTCAGAGGAACTTTTCTCCCTGCCAAATTGTTCCAGCACCTCTACATTTTTTTCAGATGAAAATCCACTCCTCATTTTGTGTTAATTCTATGCCATAGAAACACTTCATCTTGCTATGATCTTTCATATCAAACTCCTCCTTCATTGACTGCTTGACTTAAGTAAACATCTTCATTATTCCCAGTAAAAATCCAATCATCCACATATAGACTCACATTTAGCAACTTGCCTTCCTTTTCCTGTCCGAACGAAAAAGGTGTTAATATCTTGTTGTACCATCATGCTTCAGGGGCTTGCTTGAGGATTTACAATGCGTTTGTCAACTTGTAAATCTTATCTTCTGATTTCAGCAAGAGCTAGAATGGCTTTGATATTCTGATTTGGTGAATCAGCAGCTCGAGAATTATGATATCCTGGTTATGGTTTTACATCTTCATTATCAGCGTCTTGTGCAGCTTAAATATCTGCATTTTCCCTTTCTGAACTGTCATTATCATCTTTACATTATGCTAGATTCTTCTTTTCTTCTATTTCTCCCTTGTTCCAATTCCATTTTTCCGTCTCAGCCAATATCACATCCCTACTAATAATGACTTTCTTTGGAGTATGCTAATATCACTTACAAACCTTAGACCCCTCACTCACTCCCAAGTGCACACACTTGATACTTTTGTCATCTAAATTCTTCCTTTGAGAATCTGGAGTATGAGCATAGGCAATACAACCAATCTGAAGTGTTTGACTGATGGCTTGATGCCATTGCATGCCTCCTCAGGTATGACATTTTTCATAGCTAGTCTAGGAGGAGTTCTATTGAGCACATAAATTGTCCATTTCAAGCTTCTGGCCAAAACTGTTTAGGAACTCCCTTTTCAGGCAACAGATTTCTTGCCATGATCATGATAGTTCTAACTTTCCTCTCAGATACACTATTTTGCGTGCTAAGCTGCAGTAAGGTTCCTTTTACTGCCATTGCTGCTGCAAAAGCTGCTAAGCTCTTAAGAATTAAACTCTGCACCTCTATCAGTTCTCAAACAATAAATAGTTTCTAGAGTCCTTTTCAACCATAATATTGGTCTTCCTAAAGATATCAAATGCATAAGATTTTTCTGACATGAAATGATCCCAGGATTTCCTACTATAGTCATTGTCAAAATGACTTTGCATAGTTTCCCCATCTGATCTCTATGGTAGGATTAAGCATTACTTTTCTATATCTTTTATGTAAGAAACTCCCACAAATGAATGAGTTAAGAAATGATACACACTCTCAAGCATTTTTTCAATACTTTATCTCAAGTTGGCATCAAAGTGTGTCGTGCCAATCTCACTCTATTAGCCACTTGATAAGTTTCTGCTGTACACCACCATTCACTGATGCCTTTCTCTCAGACAAGCACCTGGTTGTGTTAATTTCATTGAGCAACGGAAAAACTAGTAGTCATCGTCTACCTTGCTAGCCACCAACTAGCATCAGATCTGGATGGGGAACGCCACAAGTCAAGGAGGCAAATTCCTCCACGCACAATCCTTGGTGGCCAAACAAGGCATGTGCCTTTTGGTCACGGAACAACATTGCTCCACCTCCATTGCTCTCACTAGCTTTTCTACTCCTTGTTCCAACCTACTTTTCCTCTGATTGGAGTTTGGTCCCCCATTTGAGCACCTGAAAGTTCCTTTTTTACCCCTATGCTCTTTATTTCTTATCAGCAAAAGGCATCTGAACCTGTCCACTCATTTTCTGGGTTACCCATAATTACTTCAGATAAGCTTAATGGCAAAAACAAGTTGTCTTGGTCTACATCAGTTGAACTGTGGTTTCTAACAAAATAAAATAGAATATATTTATGGAGAAATTCGTCCAAATAGAACTGAAATATATTTAGAGTTTACATTTGGTAAACTGTGAGATGTTCAGTGTTTGAAGTTGAGCAATTTCTCCAAGTAATCTTTGAGATCATAGCAAATTTTCTCAGCGCAGCACTTACACCTAATTGACCTATTGGTTCAATCATGTTCAATTCTATGTAAATTCTCTCATTCTCAGGCATGTCTGGTTGAAAAACTACTGTTAGTTAAATGGAAATCATTGGAGGTGACAAGACCAGGCCAGTAAAAACAGGAGAGAAAAAATCCAATTGCTTGCTACAATTTGCAATATTTAAATGACATCATGTTCAACTTTTGGCAGAAGAAAAGGAATAAGGTTCTGCAGAAATTTTACAGAATATTCTGTTTCTTGTTTTGTTTTTTGCCCACTTTTAACACCAGAAAATACCATCCTTTTTTTGTGTTTATACATAACACATACATACAATCAAATTCATACACTTATTTCAAATATTTTCCAGGCCATCTTCTATTAGTATTCTGAAAACATGTCACTCCAGTTCCCAGAAATTACAACTCAAACAAATTTCAGATATGAAATCATGAAAATTAGGATAAGCACAACTCAGGCATAGGTAAACAAAAGATGCTGGACAAGAATGAGCAAGAAATAGCGTGATAATTTTGAATACCATGGGGAAAGAAATTTCTCCAGAGCCAACAACATATGATCGACCAGAGCCCACGCTTCCTTCTTCATAGCCCCTCACACTGTTTGTTCCACCAATGGCAAAAGCTTCATAGGGAGGAAAATTTCCCACCACATGACCACCAGAGATACTACCAGTGAACCAATTAAAGTAGGTAAAGCATAAGATAGTCTGTTTTGCTGTAATTTAAAGTGTAAACAAGGCATTCCTTTTACTTTCAATGACAGGGTTGACTTGATGGTGCGTATTTCATACCTTAAATGAAGGCGTGCAGGACCAATCTCAACACCTTTCCTAGCACGTGCATTCACCCTAGTGAAGGACAGCCATTCAGGCAAAAGAGGAAGTCCCTTTTCCATGTTAAGGACAAACTGAAAAACCAATCCTTGATAAGAAACATAGTAGTAAATTTAAACAGAAGGACCTTGATCCATTCAGAGCATACCATAGAAGAGCCATGGTCGCCAGAACCAGTGTAAACAGTCTCAAGTTTAGCAAGCAAGGTCTCATCATGAGTATTGCCACTACAAAGAAAGTTTGACAAAAGTTAGAAACAACCACACAAAGTCATGATAATAATACTCTCAGCATTATTCAGATTATAACCTTGCAGTAAGAGGACTGCTGAAGCAATCCTTAATGATAGGAATACCTTTCTCATCACGGACTCCAGCATGCTGAAATGATATAGGAATTTTGAATGGAAAATATCAGTAGTATAAATAGATAGCCAATCTATATATTATAGTAACATTTCATTTATGATAGAGATAATCTGATTAATGATTTCATAGTTTAACTAAACAAAACAACTAATCAATTTACAAGTGGTATTTATAAAGCGAGAGGTGAAGGACTTAAATTAGAAATAAAAAGATAACACACACAAAAGTTGTCAAAATTGCCAATGAAGCACCTGAAAAACAAGTCCCACTGTTCCACTCCACTTTGGCCTGATTGGGCGACTAAACTCTATACCACCTGTGATGCGGCCAATGGTCAGGCTACCGTTACCATCCGCATTACCATGAACAATGGTTCCGGGAGTTCTTGAATTCTGAAGTAAAATTATTTGAATATCAAAAAGTACAGTTTTCAACATTCAATCATCAAAAATATGTTCAGACAAATCAACCTTCAGAATTTACCTGAATCATTATTGTTCTAGATGTTCGTTTATCATCTCCTTGAATCCAAGGGTCTGTGTAGTTTATTCGATAGACCGAGTCAACCTGGCCCCTCTCTAAAGAAATATTGAGCTTCTGGTTTTTACCAAAAACATTCCGATGAGAATAAGCAAAGCTGCAATGTAATAAAATAGAATCAAATGGATCACTAAAAAAGAACAAAGAAAACAACTAGTTGCAGTTGGACCATAAATTACAGCAAAAAAAAACAACTTAATTTGGCTGACTAAGCACCGATAAACCAAGATAAATTATCCAAAGTTAATATCAACTAAATTCCAACCAAGCTTTATCCCCGCAACATTATGCATTTGTTAGTGGCATGCTTAGAGTTAGAACTACAACTGCATATTCACCACTTGCCACTATCACAAAACCGCATACCACTCAGTATATAGAGACAGCAAGAGAGGACCGGAGGCAAATAACCCTTAACTTGGTTCCAATTGCACTAAAGTAAAAACTAGGCTTTAAATAAAGGGGATAATAGGATAGCAAGAGTCAGAGAATCAACTTATAACATATCACATAAATATAAAATAAAGTCACCTTCCAATAAGCCCTCTTAGTGGACCATTTGTAATCCTGCAAAAATAAATACCAAGTCAGATACTCAGATAAAGCAGCAATAAACAGAGTCAACCTGGCCCCTCTAATACTGGAAATAAAACCATCCATCTATCTGTTATGTGTATTTATCACCAAAATGGTGATGTACAAAAGACAGTATCAGGGCTGTCTATGATATAAAAAACCAAAGGAATAATTGCCTTGTCAAAATTAAAATTAGGGGAGTTAACAGTATTATCAAGAATTTCATAAAAAACTAGGAGGCAAGCGTAATGCATGAAGACTAGAATCACTTACCCACTTGATATCCCACCACCAGCAGAAAATCCTCCACTTGGACGTTCCACCACATTCATCACCAAATCAACCTTCCCTGTATCTATATCATGCCAAAGAAACAAGATGCAGAAGTTTAGACTTGAGAGGATATTAAGGATCTAGTGGGTGAAGACAAATAAAGGTTATTAAGTCACTTCAAGAATATAATTATTTTCCATTTCACAGCATCAGTTGAAGATAGTGACATCACATCAGTCCTCTGTTTTCCTTTTAGACAAATTGACTCAATGCGTCACCTCTTCATCCCGTGCAATTGAAATCAGTGAACTGTGTTTATGATTGTAGCAACTGACAGATTAGACTTCATCTATATAAAATTGTATATGTTCCAAATAAATTGTGTCTAATGCAGACCACACAGGATGTATTTATAGCATAATACAAAATTAATTATGATAAATACACCTAATAATTAAGAATCAATCATCCTAATTTCCCATACTGTGTAACGCCTAATTCCCTAGAAATCTGTAACAACTGATGGCCGGTCGATCCCGTTGGAGCGGTGAATGAAGGGCGGTGGTCGTCATAGGAAGCCGGTCTCGATCGCAGTGGTCACCAGGGGAAAAAGATACTCGGTGACAGAAAAAAGGGGCACACAGGGGTCGCGGAGGGTATTGTTCACCCGAAAAAAGGAGAGAAACCATATCTTGAACCTAAACTACTGATACCATATAGAATTGTATATGTTCTGAATGAATTTGTGTCTAATGCATACCATATGTCTTTATAGCATAATACAAAATCAATTATAATAAATACACCTAATAATTAGGAATCAATCATCCTAATTTCCCATATGTAAACCCCTAATCCCTTAGAAATCTGTAACAGCTGATTTTATTCTAACAATATAGGTTATTGATCTCTATACAATAAATATCAATTGTAAACTCAAACTCTAAACCTAAAATTCACTTACCTAATTTTCCAATATACAGAAAATTTCCCAAAATTCTCATTTTCTGGATATTCAACGAGGATTAGTAGGTATCATATATAGCACCTTACTGTCAAATGTTATTACATGAATAAAAATTATCAAGAAAAAAATTGGGACACTTGCAGAACACTGCAACTTATTATATTCCTGGTTTGCTCTAGTTGACTGTATATAAAGGTAAAAAACTTACATTTGAAACTATTGAATTTGTTATATAACCCATGTAAGAAGTTTAGTTATGATATATTAGCAACTCACAAGCAGTTAGATTGGTAAGTCAGAAGTAGGTTAAATTGTTTAAATAAGGCATCTTGCCCATAAAATTCAAGGGGGAGGCAAGATACAGATCATCTTGTCATTTGTAAGGGAATTAGGGCCTTTGGCATGGGAGGTGCAGTCCCTCAGGAACAGCTGACTGTTGAGTGGATTAGAGTTATATTTTCTAGATTGGGAAATTCATCCCTATAATTCTGTAAAAAATATACAGGTTTTCTGTCATAATAAAATCTTAGTTCCTTTCTTCATTTCTTTCTTTGTTTGCCTTCTTCAGTTTTCATTAACTTAGTTTCCTAGTTTCTCCCTAGGTTGGCATGAAAAATTCTTCACTTTATTTTATAATCATTTATACAGAGTCAAGTTTGGTACAATATAAAATGCTGAATAAAAAAATTATACTTACACAGGGTTTCGTAAGAAAATACATCACAACTTACCATCAGTTTGGCTAGAACATAAAACTGCCATAATTTAACAGTTATTTTCCTTGACTTAAAGTCCATTTTTAGTATGAATACATTACCAGCTGGTTGGGGAATAATGCTAACATCTTCCATGATTCCCATAGTTAATACAGTTTCTACATCTCTTTTACCCTCAAGCATGCTGTAGACCTGAAAATATAGATGGGTAATGCCCAAATACTTCTCAGTATGAATGTGAACTCAAGGAGGCTCCTTCTTAATAAGAATGCGAATTCAAAGAGGCATGTTTCCCAAAAGAGAAAAGGACACATCTGAAAATATCCCTTTGATGAACTACGAACAATACCAATGTCCAATTACCATCAAACAGACCAGAGAATATTGACAACCAAATTTGATAAAATAATGCCACACTCCACCTTTTAAACTTACACAACACAGATGATAAATCCTCATGCTTTAGCTTGATTCACAGTGTTACACAAAATTAAATTTATATTACCTCTTGATAAACTTTCAATGCTAACTAAACTAAGAACCGTCATCAGCAGGAGTGCCCAGTGCTAGATAAAGGAATTACCTGTCCCTTCTTTGTTGTTATTTGCCTAAGTATTGTTTCTGGCTTAGTCTTTCCCACAGTAATCTCACCTCTACAGGTAGAAAAACAAGTTGGTAAAAAAAACTCAACATAAATCATAACTAAAAGATTGCAGGTACGTTTGTCCTCTCACGAGTACTTGTGTTTGTCAATCAAATTGAAAGAAGGTGCTTACGTCTTCCTGTCAAGAAACCGTATGGAAATATTATTGACCTCAGCCTCTGAAACTTGTAATCTAAGAATACCTCCAGACAGAATCTCCACAGCCGAAACCTAATGCAATGATCAAAACAAGGAAAAAAGAAAAAAGACAATCCCCATTGATAACACTGGTTAGAGAAGGCAAGTGAAGTTGAATGATATAATATTGTGATAGTTACTGCAACATAGGCTACTAAAAATCTGAAAGATGGATCTAAATTTTGGATTCCAACCGAGCAGGAGCAATATTAGATGTGAAGTTTGACCAGAAATTAAGGAGAATTTACCATGGCAAAAAGACCACGCTCCATGTACCAGTTATTAATGGAAGATATTGCTTCATCCAGTCGTCTCAAATTAATAATCTTCCCTGCAAAACACAGCATGTTAACCTGAATACAGTAAATGTCAAACTTGAGCAACATGCACAGTACAAACAACTGCATGGATATGGAGAATGAAGAAAAAGTTACCATATCCATTTCGCATTGAGTCCTCTAGAAATTTAGCCGGAAGAACATTGGCTCCTTCACATACCAGCCCTTGGAATTCTTGATTTGGTTCTACCTTATTCCACAAGAAATCACTACTAATTACATAACTCAATACTGCAAACATGAATAAGCAACACTAGGATACAAAATTCAATTCAAATAACAACAAAATCCTTATAAAATCTTGATTCCAATAGCTAACTGAGATTGTTCAACAGAAGACAACATGCATGAAACTAATTCGACATGATAACTCATACTAACGTTGCATCATTCAATACTGCAAACTTAAACTGTTGTAATGTGCATCGATTGTTCCGCGGCATAGGTCAAGTAGGCAAAAGTCACAATCAAATTAGGCCACTACACTTTTATATAGAAAGAGTTGCAATCTGTGAATCAACTATGACGCTCAATCCAATAATTGGTATCAAAGCAAGGCAACAACTTTGATTCCTAAAGAGACACTTATAGAGGGCGAGATTATTGCAGATTGCATCAATTATCACGTTGCATAAAGGCCATATGTTCACTTTGACTATCAATTATAACTTTTGACCTAGTTGTAAGTGGTTTCACTCACATACATAAGAAACACTGGAATGTGAAATTCTATTACAATAGCATCTTAACGTGACCAACTCAATTCCAATGCCTAACCTCCATTATTCAACAAAGGAGAACATGCCTGAAAGACTAAGCGGATACCATCATGCTTACTAACATTACAGCACTCAATTTTACAGACTTAAAGACACAACACTAGAATGCGTAATTCTATTAGAGACAAATTTCATTCCAATGCACAACCACCATTGTACGACAGAAGAGAACACGCCTAGAAGCTGAAATCCTAATCGGATACCGTCAAGCTGTACTAACATCAGAGCAGTTAGTGTTTCAGACTTAACATAAAAAACTAGAATGTGAAAGTCTATGCAAAATCACTTTAAAACGTAATCTCAATTCCAATGCGTAATTGTCATTATTCAACTAGAGAACACAGAACCCACCTGAAATACTAATCGGATACCATCTCTCGTGTCAACCGCAACCGGCATGCATGACGAAAAATATCCACTGTTGATGATGCGATGCACATCCTCTTGTACCTCGCGCACTGTGAGAGCCGAGTTAGGTCGACAAGCCTTCAGAGCCTGCACCGCCTCCGCCTCGAGGTCCTTCCTCTCCATTTCCTCCCCGTCTTTGTTTCGAACCAGCACTTCACTGATCAACACTCTCTCCTCGTTCTGTCGAGCCTTCTGCTGCGCCTCCTCCGCCAGAGACAGCGAAGCAAGACGCCGAATCGGACATGCTCTCTTCCTGTCGCCGGTCAAGGACAGAGTCGTGGAGCAGAGGAGCGACGATTTTTGGAGGATGGAGCGAGTAAACTCGGTGGAGTGAGACGCGAACGAATTAACGAATTGCGCAAACGAGTTTGTGGCGTTGGCGATGTGGGAATGCGCCGTTCGCAGAGGACAGGTTGGGCGCTTGGAAGGAAGAGGGATTTTGATGGCAGAGGAGACGACGCGGATGTCGTCGTTTCGAAGCATCCTCTTGAAAGGTGGAGTTTGGCTCCGTATTTGGTTGAATAGGTGCAGCTTGAATCAAGAGAGTGAGTGTAGTGGAGTTCTTGCCTTGTCACGGCTAAAGCTTCCTCTTGAAGTCACGGCTGAAACTCCAAAAGGGAGATCATTTTTTCTTTTGGGCCTTTCCATTCAGAACGGAGAGAGGGAGGCGTCTTCCTGCACCCGAGTGCTTTCTTCCTGCACCCCAAAATTTTGTTAAATTCCGAAATTGACTTTTGAGCTTTGACTAAGGTTAAAACCCATTTTACATGCTCTTCCCTGGCGACGCAATCACACTCTCACACCCTTCACCTCCTTGCACCTCCTCTTACATTTCTTCTTCATCCATTTCTTTTTCATTGGTATTCCATAGACATTCGTTTTTCATGCCTTAGCGAGGCACTTTCATTCTCTTGGCCAATCTTTGGTGAAATGCATCTCCTTTTTGAAGGTAAGTATTTTTCTTTACTTGATGATTTTCCCGTGTGAGAATGACAATTTGGAGGTAGATAATTGTAGTTTTTGGAGGTGAGAAGTGAAATGGATTTTGAAATTCAATACGTTGATAAATCAAATTATGAAATTTTGTTAGAAAGGTTAAACGCGTGTACCAAATTTAGAAATTTGGTGTTGTCTGATATTCAATTACATGTGTATCGCATATGAGTGAAAAATCCAGGTAAGGGCACTTGGAATCGGTTAAGGATGTGTATACAATCGTAGTATATTTAATTGTTAAATATATTTGAGATCCAAGAAGGGTATAGAGATGAGTCCTTGAATTTAGAGGATTACTCTTTACACCATCCTACATTTCTCCTCACACTCCATATTTTTAAAGAAAAATTAAAATTATCTTTTATATTTTAAAAAATCTCACACTTTCACTTATTTTTTTAATGAATTTTAAAATTTTAAGAAAAAAAAATTCTCAACAGATATCGAAATCTATTGAAGAATTTTTCAAGCTTTCAATGAATTTCAAAATTCGTTAAAGTTTTTGAAAAAAATTTTAATAAATTTTGAAATTCATTAAAGGATTTTTTTTTTCTTCAATGGATTCCAAAATTTATTGAAAAAGGTTTTTTGGAATGTGAGATTGCAGGGAGAAAAATAAAGAGGTGCAGGGAGTAACTCTTTTGAATTTATTCAGTTGGCCTTTAAGTATTGTACCTCGCTTCGGCCTTGTGAGTTTCTTCGTGTATCTTCAATTTTCTTTAAAATACTAAAATTATCTTGCTTTGAAACTTCTTATTTTCAAAGTCGATTTTGGCAAAATAAAATTTTGAAAACCAATTTTGTCTTTATCAAATTTCCAAAATTGATTTTGCTTTTTTAATTTTAATTTACTTTTAACATAATAAATTTATAATTCATATATAGAATTATTAATCAAATAAAAATAAATAAAACATATATATTAAATTCAAAATAAGATAAACTTAAAAAAGAAAAATTGAAAAGAAACACCTAATTTAAAATCCAATAAAGATCCAATTGAATTTCGAGATTTGTCGAGTGTTTTTTGCACTTGTAACTATTTATCACCTTAATAAATGAGAGTATCTTCTATAACTTAGAAGTAAAAAAATAAATCATGGAGGTACATGGAGAAACTCTCTCAACTCTTTAATTTTTTTATCCACCATCAACCATCTTTTATTAGTGCATTTCTCCATAAATTTTAAAATTTTCATTTTATCCCTTCTCATTTTCAATTTCAAACTATACATATCAAAATATTTCAAAAACATGACTAGAATATAAAATATTATATTTTGGATTGTACAATCCAAAATACAAAAAAAAAAAAAAACATTCTTAATTGTATAATCCGAAATATGATTTTTAAAGTTCATGTTGATGTTTGTAAAGCAACAATTATTATGTCAAATGTTTGGTCCTCTTTCATATGAATATGAATATTATTTCTTTTTTAGTCTTTTATAGTTTTTTGATCAACTAGTGATTATTTAGAATCATAGAGAAGTGAAAATGTTGCTTGTTGCACTTTTGTAAATATATGCACTTTAAAATTTTTTATATATTTTGAGAAAAAAATCATTGTACTAATAAAATAACTAATTTAATTTTGATTCATAATAAACAACACAAGTAGTTAATGTTTTACTTCCATGTTTATTTATATTTTTTCTTAATTTATCTATGTAAAATGTAATTTATTCTGTTATATATGTTATTTATCATATGTAAAACCAACTTTCTGTTATATATGTTATTAAAAATTTATTCTGTTAACATAACCAAACTATTTTTTAATTAGTCTAATATAAAATTCTTTTAATCATCATTTATTAGGAATTAAATAATTTTATTGTGGAGAATGTTAAAATTATTGTTTGATTGGTAAAATGATTTCTTTTACTATGACATTTTTATTTTATTTTTAGAGAATATCTTTTGATAATGTGATCAGGATGGAAGAATAATTTTTATATTAATCTATTTACAGTTTTAATATTTAGTAGTAAATGAAATAATTTGTACTAACAATAAAATTATGTTAAAATAAATTATTTTATTTGATCAGTAAATTTTATTTAGGATGACATTTTTTTTAATTTGTATGACATATTTTTTTGTTAACGTTGTGATGTCATAAGTGTGGAAGAATAATTTTTTTATATATTATAGTTTTAGTACTTAACAGTAAATGAAATAATTTGTGCCAACAATAAAATTTTTTGATAATAAAATATTTAAAAATGTAAATAATTCAAATTCAATATATATATATATATATATTGCTCTTAAATTTAGATTAAATGTGTCTGAAGAAATTCCAGACAAATTTTTATGTTACTTGTTACTGAATTATTTTTATTTTGTAGTAAGATAAATATTTATCTACTATTAATATATATATATATATATATATATATATATATATATATATTTTCAGGATAAGGTAAAATATTTATTAAACATGGTGGACAAATAATGCTTTTGAAGAAATAGCCAGCAAAATTAGAGAAATCTGCTGCTGAGTAAGAAAGATTTATCTCATCCTAATGTTGAACTGTTGAGGTGAAAGAGATGACAGAAACAGTGAAATTGGTTCCCCTTTATCAAAACAGGGGAAAGCTCCCTCTTTTTTGTCTTTTTCTTTTGCTGCTGCTACTGTGCTACTGATCTTCGCTCACCAATAGGTAAGCCAAAACAAGATCTGTAATCAATATCAGAGGTTGTCATCAATTTTGGTTCTAATCCCAGTGAATATCAGAGTATATTTCTATGTAGGGGTTTAGATTTGAACACATGGGTATATGTTCTTATCACAACATATTAAGCTTCTCATGATTATTTTTAGTTAATGTTCGTTAATTGCCTATACGTGGATTCCATGAGCTTTATTTTATTTTTTAGTTCTGTGAGCAAAAGTTTTGGCTTTCAAGTTTTGTGGTGGTGTTAGGCTTAGTCATCTGGTTGTAAATAAACACTGTTCTGTGCCCGACCCAATTGAGATTTAAGATTTTGTTGTAGTCAGTTTCTGTGTCACCATCTTCTAGAATTAGGGTTTGTGTTTGAGTTCCAAGAATGAATAGTTCGGGTTTGGGTGGTGGCTTTTTGTCTGGTCCCAGCGGGGCGATTTTAGACTTGGAATCTTCATTTCATAGACATCAACAGACTCAACTTGGTCATCCATCTATTACTGGTCAACAGCACTTGAATATCATGGGTGGTCTCGAAAGTGATCACCCCATTGGCCTAATTGAAGTGAAAAATTTGAATGCCGGGTTGAATTTTGGTAAAGGAAAGGCAATTGCTCCTTCCAATAGTAATGAGTTGAGTGAGGAGGATGAACCTAGCTATGCAGAAGAAGGGAATTGTGAGAACCTGGATGGTGGGAAGAGCAAAAAGGGATCTCCTTGGCAGCGAATGAAGTGGACAGATAATGTGGTTAGGCTTCTTATAACAGTGGTGAGTTGTGTCGGTGATGATGGCACTATTGGGGGCATGGATGGTCATAAAAGGAAATCTGTGGTTTTGCAGAAGAAAGGCAAGTGGAAAACAGTCTCCAAGATAATGATAAGCAAGGGTTGCCATGTGTCTCCACAGCAGTGTGAGGACAAGTTCAACGACTTAAATAAGAGATACAAGAGGTTAAATGACATACTTGGAAGGGGAACTTGTTGTCAAGTGGTTGAGAATCCTGCATTAATGGATTCAATACCTAACCTGTCAACTAAGATGAAGGATGACGTTAGGAAGATCCTGAGCTCAAAACACTTGTTTTATAAGGAGATGTGTGCCTACCATAATGGGCAAAGAATACCAAATTGTCATGAACTTGATTTACAGGGTTATTCTATGGAGCATGGGAAGGACTCAAGAAGAGAAAATAATGCATCTGAGGATGAAGATGAAGATCACAATGATAGCGAGGATGATGAGTTGGAAGATGAAATTAATATTAATGCACACGAGGATGGAGGGAGGATGCAGGAACAATGTGATAGAAATATATTAAGTGAGGAGGATGGCCATTTTGGCCCACAAACTTCTCGGATGGACAAATTTGAGGTTGAAATGGCAAGAGTTTTTCAAGACCCCGGAAAGTCATTACGCGAACAAAGAGAGTGGATTAAAATCCAGATGTTGCAGCTTCAAGAGCAAAATATCAGCTACCAAGCCCAAGCTCTTGAACTTGAGAAACAGCGGCTTAAGTGGTTAAGATACTGCAGCAAGAAGGACAGAGAGCTGGAGAGACTGAGATTGGAGAACAAAAGAATGAAATTAGAAAATGAGCGCAGGATCTTGAAACTGAAACAAAAAGAGCTAGAGACAGATTTCAGTACATCTGAAATGTCTTTAGACCCTGCCTCTATAGGAATCCACCGGCCGCAGGGGAGGGAGCATATCAGCTTAGGCAGACAACTGTAGCTGCTTCTCAGAAAAGATCAGCCGTTATTGCTTAAATGAGGTACAAAATGAACCCGTTTCGTTTAAAATGTTTAATAATTTGCGGTTACATTTATAGTGTTACATGGTGGGTTACTAGGCTGTAGATATAAAATTGCATTAACATAGTAAATGAATGATGTATCAATTTGTTCAAAGCTTCCAACCATATTGTTGAGAAGATAGTTCAGTTGACAATATATGTTTTTTTTATATCTT